AGGGGTTATCTGTGGCCTTAATACTTAGATGGGTATGTAATTTGGTATTTTTTATGCTTTCTGAATGCCTCGAGGTAGATGTGATCAGGAAATGGGTTTCCCTTTTCACTCTTCTTCCTGAGAAGTTTCAAGATACCACTGTTAGTCGTTTTGACGTAACTTAGGATTTAATTTTCGGTCTATTTCCTCTTTTGTTTGCTTGTTCCGCTTCACAATCCCCATTCAGGCCTTTCTTCTAGTTAGAAACAGTTCAGGGCCAGCTCTGGCCATTTGTTTTTTTTTTATTTAAGGTTTTTATTGTGGATTGATTGAAAGTTTATAAGGCGCAACATCAGTTTCACATTCAACCATTCATATAACTTGTTTCATTACATTGATTATAATCCTCTCCGTATACCACAGTTAACAGTGTTTCTCTCTATCCTCTTTAGCTTTTTTTGTGGGGCAGGGGGGCTGGAAAAACTTTGCCTTTTTGGACTTTACCGTTTTGGCTTCTAGGGAAGGTTTTTACATTTATCTGTAGATATCCAGGGCTCATGTATGAGATTACTAGCAAGCATACTGAATAATCAGATGAGGGCCAGTTTGCTATGTCTGCTAGGTGACCAAAGTTTGATCCTCAGAGCCTATGGTTTGGACAGTCTGCCAGGCTTGGGCCCACAGAGTCTTGAGCTCCTGACCGGGTCTGCACTGTCTGCCACAGATTCCCCCTTGTTTATTATTTGTTTAAGGGACGCTGCCTGTCTTAGGCGGTCAGTGCGAATTCCTCTGTCTTACCCGTCATCGAAACTCATTGCAGCATTCTGGCCATTTGGTTATAATTGGAAACTGTCTCTTTAAATTTTGAGGACATATTTGCGCATGCGTAGTAGAACGCTCCCAGGGTGGGGTTAGGGTGCCCACTCTTTCAGGCACCCCTATAGTCACCAGAATGAGGTATGTAGACAGCAAGGGACCAATGAACAGATACTAAAGGAAAAGAACGTCCACACCTTTATTTAAGCGGTTCTGTTAGGCGTCTGTGGCCGCTCCAATACTTCCCCCACGTGGTCTCACCCAAGATGGCGGCTCATGGAGCAGCCGAGTGTCCCGAACCAGAAAGCAATAGATTTCTTGCTTCTGACACAAATTCCCCCAGCGGTGAGCCTCCAGCCTTCGAAGTATTCCTTTCTATGTGGTTCAGAGTTCTGAGACCATCCCCTGAGCCTGCTTGGTCGGGTATTTTGTGTTGTTGTTGGCGGAGCTCTTTGCTACACGTCCACCCGATCCGCCATCTTGTTTGTTCTTCCCTCTTGTCTTATTTTTTATTTTAAAAATTTTATCTGGTTTATTTTTATGTTTTGAAAATCCATTCCTAATGATTGGTTCAGTCTCTCAACAGGGTAACAATGGACAAAAGGTGTCTAGTGAGTTTACGCTTGTGAAATTGATGAAGAATAATGCTTGGTGGTTCATGTCAGGGGACATCTGTGAGTTTCATGGCAATGAAAATCCCCACAACAACCAGGATGGGCATACCAGGTACCTTACCCATGACATTAAATAGTGCCCCATGAGACAGACTCAAGATG